CAAATGGATGGGCAAACGGCGCCTACGACTTGTGACGGATACTCTTTGCCGCATTGTGACCTGCAAAAGCCCTCGGCTCAACCTATTTTGTACATCCCAATCCATGAATACGAGGTAGCCCAGAGAAAAAGCCCCGGCGGTGCTCCCCGTTCCCCCATATGCCACTATGTTATTAGGGGCACCTGTGATACTGCTACAGTACCTACTGCTACTGCTACAGTGCAGCTCTACCAGGACCAGGTTGTTGGCGTCCCGGCACCGGCGCTGAGAGCTGAAAGAGGTCATTTATTACATATAAGCAGGGACAAGGGTCAACCTCTCAAGACAAGACATGATGCTCAGAGCCTGTTGATGGATTCTCGCACTCATTAAACGAGTATTATTACCCACCTGTAAAGGCTTGTGATTGAGGCGCCATCCTTGAAAATGTTAAAACACAGGCCAGGTCTGTTCCAAGGCATTCGTCCATTTGTCTTCAATCCGGCAAGATTCTCCATCTGATGCTGGCTATTATCACATATCCAAAACTCCAAGTCATTCAGATAACATGAACCCTTGAGTTCATGCAAAGACGTGTACTATATCCATATGTGTTGCAACAGATGCTTATCTGGCCCAGTTCAAACTTGCGTTGATGAATCTTGATGGAAGAGAGACCCCATTATCAACTGTACTCCGTAGCTTTTGGTCCTTTCTCGGCCGTTCCGTCTCCGTTCCTATTCATAGCTCGCTCGCTTGCCACCATAGACGCAATACTACCTCGGATTAGACTGAAGCCAATGCCCTTGGAAAACTGAGGTTGCACGCATTGCCTAGAATCGGGATACAAGATAAAATATTCCGGACAAAAGAAGATTCCATCACATGGCAAAGATTCTTCAGACAGAGACTTGGGTTGATGTAGATTTTGCAGAGCCTGTGGACCAGGAGAAATACGGCCTGCCCACTCAAGACTAGTAACCGCCCAACGTTCCCAAGCCATTGCGCTCATCAGCCGCGATTTGATTCTGCGCAGAATGGCCTTGAATATAGAGAAGGTCTTCGGAGTTGTAGTTGTCAATTGGCTAGCGTACAGTAGGTAAGGTAGTTAGTTGGAGAGTACTCTTGTCATCACGGATGGGATGGATTTCGACAGCACAGAGCACAGATCACCACTCAGAGGCTCTGAAACCACAGCCTAGGTACTAAGACAGGTGCGGCACTGGCCTAACGTTAGACAAGAAACTATCCACCACCAACATCAGCTTCAGCTTCATTGCGTTGGCCGTGCTGCTATCATCTCATTTCCCAAACCTCAACACTCCGCTGGATCTCTGTCCTTCACCGGCCACTGCGTTCCGAATCAGAAACCCTCTGCAGAGACACAATTTCAAGGGCGCTCCGTATCTCTAACTAGATATCCCTCCAAAGCTAAAATGTCAACTGAGCAACGCGCAACTGGCGATGCCCTCATTACTTCCGAGGACCCGAACCACCCTGCAAACCTGATCCCTTCGCTATGCGCAAAGTTCTGGACTCTGGGCTGGGTCACGGGAACAGGAGGCGGTTGCTCTATTCGAGATGAGTATGTTTATGTTTACCTTGCTCGTTTTTGAAATTTCATCCTGGTTTTTTTTTTTTTTTTTACCCCGCGACCCCGCGACCCCGCGATGATGAGTTGGAGAAGGCAATATATTTATTGCAAGACTCATGATACCTGTGTATACATACCCTCCTCAAGTGAATGGGAAAATCACCTGAAACTTCTCTTGGGCATTTGCTATTGAAATAGGGGGCAAAAGTTTCTCTTAACTTACACCATGATCGCAGTGATCTCGTATACATTGCGCCCTCGGGCGTTCAAAAAGAACTCATGAAGAACACCGATATATATGTCATGGCTCTTTCTGAGCAAGATCCTAACCACAACAAGCTCAACCAGCGCACGTATCTACGATCTCCTCCCTGCTACAAGCCTTCTCAGTGCACCCCCTTGTTCCTTGCTGCTTTCACCCGCCGAGGAGCTGGCTGTTGTATACATACTCACTCTCAATGGGCTGTTCTTGTCACCCTCCTGTTGGAATCCCAAGGCCCCGGAAAGGATCGAGTTTTCGAGATCAACAACATTGAGCAGATCAAGGGCTTTGGCCGTGGCATGAACAAGACGGGCAACCTGGGCTATCATGACACCCTTCGAATCCCAGTCATCGAGAATACTCCTCATGAGGAAGACTTGACCGAGTATCTTGAAGAAGCGATGGATAAGTATCCCGACACATACGCTGTTCTCGTCCGACGTCACGGTGTCTACGTTTGGGGTGATAACGTTCATAAGGCCAAAACTCAATGTGAGAGGTAAGCAAGATATAACATGCTCACTCAGGATCTGCGAATGATTATGCTGAAATGATGTAGTCTTGATTACCTTTTCCAGCTTGCCGTTGAGATGAAGAAGCTCGGCCTTCCTTGGATCAGTCAAGTCGAGCAGATTGCTCCCCAGCGAACATAGTCGGAGAAGCAATCAGAGTTGCCTACAAATCCCAGCACCTCGACGCAACTATGCTCTTGACGAACGGGCTTGCTTACCAGGCAGTTAGTCTGAAAGCCAAATGAGGCACGGCGTTATGTGAGATGATGGCCTGAAGAAAAATCAAGGGTAGTCGATAGATGAATGCGGCCAACAACATGAGAATGACCAAGAGACGGAAATTGTCTCTCAAATAATAGAGTATGCCACCATTGCGGATTGTTACATTCGCGAGTTTGTTCTTTTTGACGGGCATCATACGTTCCAAAAATTAATTTACAGACAGCCTGCGAAGTCATGAACTTGGAACAAATCAGTGACATGACTTGTCCCATAGTTATGGACATAATGCTCAACATATTCGGGACCTCGTTGCTATGAAATTAATCATTATCCAACTTATAACTCATCTCTAGGGCGTTGCTGCTCAACAACATCAGGCTCCTCCCACATCCTCTTCTTGGGATTACCGATGTTGTCTTCATCACCCTCTGGGATGTTCCCCAGCTCATCTGCCTCTCTCACAACGTTCACAATCTTATCCACCTCTTCCAAAACTTCGGCCTGCTGCTCAGTGCCAACCTTGACGGTGGGCAATTCATCGTCCGGCAAGCCCTCCACCGGAACTCCTTTGCTCGCTTGTCCAGCCTCCTTCACCTGGCCCTGCCCCGAACCCGCGTGCATCATCGCACTGCCTGCTGAGGTTCCCAATCCAAAAATCAACCTCAGCGGCAGCCAAACAATCCACCACATCGGTCCATACAGCAGTCTTCTGAACAACAGCCAGCCGAGTGTACAAGCTAGCATGTAAAATGTCGTCTGAAGGTACCACGTATCGCTTTTCTGCGAGCGCAGCAGTGTGCCTAACAAGTCCTTGGAGCTCGCCAGCATTGCGTCCAGAGAGCCATACGACTCGTTCAGTTGCTTCAAAGCAGCAGAAGATTCTGTCAAAGTCTCATGTGCAAACTCGCTGCGAGCCAACTCCGCCTGGATCAAATCATGTGTTCGTCGTAGGGCGTTGGTCACATTAGCACTCGCACCAACGTTCTGTTGGTCATCTTCAGTGAGGCTTGATTGCTGCTTCTGAACATTCTGCTGATGGCGTGTAGGACGAGCAGTCTTTTCATCGTCAGGGTAAAGAGAGTTGGTCTCGGAGGTAGGCTGTGAAAATGAGGTAAGGAGGATCTCGCGCTCTTGTCTTTGTGCCTGTGCGAGGCTATGCTTTGCTGATAGTCGTGCTTTTCGAAAAGAGAGACGGCAGCTAAAGTACGTTTAGACATAAATACCATTTCCCTCTCAGCGCAAACTATACCTTGCAAGTTCCTTTCCAATCTGTTCCACACTCTCTTTCAATCGGTCTTTGTCATGCTCTGCACCACGCAGAAACTCCACTTCTTCCTGCAGAAGCTCATGCTCCTCTTCTCCGTCTCGTAGAGTACTCGTAATTTCTGCGCTGAGTTCGCCGCTTTCGCTGCTCTCCTCGTCGGTGGTCAGGGGCACAGATCCAGGTTGGAATTTGAGTGTTGCGAGTCGATCGATAAGCTCTTTGAGCTGTGTTGTAGTCTCTTGCAGAGCCGTCAAACGCTCCTGCAGACCCTCGAAGGACATCTTCAGCTTGTCGAGTTTGCGATATTATGCTGGTGAAGAACTGTTAGGTATATGCTGTGCAAGTCGATCTCGAAACGTGGTCCGTCATGACGTTGCAGTTACCTTAGCTGGGTGCTACCCCTTTAGGGTGATATGCATGTACCGAGACAATATCGAACCTCGAAATTTTAGCATCACCAAACTACCGGCCTATAGCTCTTGAGTGTGTAAACGACTACGTTCGACTCCCTTGCCAAAGCCAATTTTCTCTTGAGTATTTTACGAGCTTCGCCTTTTACTCGCCGTCAAGATGATCACCAAGTTTATGACTGAGGTTTCGGCCAAATTCAACCCTTTCTCGGCCTGCGCAAAGCCAGCTCGTCTGTTTCTCACATTTCTACCTCCGAATGCCCGAGCCAATGGAACAACAATCACATCAACCATCTTACCCCGAACTTCAAAAGAGCCCAGCTCCCTGCGAGTGAAATTTAGTGCGTAATACTAGAAGGCTATTTGTAGTTCCTAGGGGGTCCAATGGCTAACGAGATGCAGAGGATGGCAAGGAGCTCAACTTCGACTGCCAAAAGATCAACATTAAAGGACTTGTGGAGGAAGTAGACCGACACTCGCGTCAATTGCAGAAGGCAGCCGACTTAACCGATTAAAATATGTGAAACACATCGCTATATTGTATCACTCACTCTGCACAAACGGCGTTCAGGAAACGAACCATGTACATTTACGAACCCCGGGATGGCATAGCAGGGATTGAGGGTCTTGTATAATATTACGACAATTGGCATCATTTTTATATATTGTTCTTGAGTATCTCCGTGCTCAACTTTTGTGAAGACTACATGTCTACCATACTTCTTCCTTTTATGCAAGATGGTTGGTCTATGAACACTTAAGCAGAGGCACCGCTGATGAAGAACCACTTGTCGATGGAAGCATCGATCTTCTCGGCGGGGAGATCCTCGCTGGGAGGCAGAGGGGGGAGCTGGTCAGGAGAGACGCGAGAAGGAGAGTTCTGGACAGTGACGTTGGTGCTGTGCAAATGTTAATATCAACTGTGTTAGGAAGATAGCTTAGAGACTTACGTGGAGACACCGCCAGCAGGGGTCTTGCCAGTGATGAGACGCTCCCAGGCCTCAGCACACTCGCGGATGACATCATGGGCGTAGCTTAAAATTGTCAGTCTTGGGCTCACTGAGCCGGAGTTCAAGAACTCACCTCTTGTTCTTGCACTCGCCAGTGAAGGCAAACTGGTTCTCGGGCTTGCCATCGGGAATCTTGTAGATACGGAACCACTCGTTGGTGGCACGGAGGAGACCGGGAAGGTGTCGCTCGACATCCTCGACGTCGTTCAGCTTGGAGGCGAGAGGGTCGTTGATATCAATGACGATGACCTTCCAGTCAGTCTCCTCCTCGTCGAGGAGAGCCATGACACCGAGGACCTTGACCTGCTTGACCTGACCAGTGTAGCCAACGAGCTCACCGATCTCGCAGACATCGAGAGGGTCGTTGTCACCCTTAGCCTTGGTCTCAGGGTGAACGGAGTTGGGATCCTCCCAAGTCTGGTGATCGAGTTAGGGATGACCACGTCAGATTGGGGTAAACAATGAGCATACCTGGGGGAAGGCACCGTAGTTCCACAGGTAACCTTTGTGGGGGAAGCAGTTTCGGACGTATCGAAGCTTGCCCTTCTTGATATCCTGCTTGATGGGGTTGAGGAGCTCCTCCTTGGAGATCTAGAGTGAGGGTTTTGTCAGTATTCATGTTTTGCGTCTTGTCGGTCTGGGCAACGATTGCGCAAGGAGGGGGGAGGGGTAACATAGCACACGACAACTGTAAATGAAGCAAAGCGTGCCGAGGAGGCAACAAGACAGCAATTGATGTTGGCCGGAACATACCTCGAGCTTGGCATTGGTCCATCGAGGAATCTCGACAACCATGTTCAGGATGGTCTGCTCCTGGTTGGCATAGAGAGGAATATCATGGAAAGGAGAAACAGGCTGGCCATCCTTCTCGATGTAGACTCGGTGCTCGAAGGTGTTGGGAGCCGCAACCTTGCGGACGGTGTAGTTGGAGGCCATGTCGGGCTTCTGCTTTGAAACGGGACCTGTGGGTGAGGATGAGGAGGAAAAGTGTCGAGCAATCTGAGCTGTTCGACGGGAAGAAATTTTGGAGGTTGACGTAGCAGCAGAGTGAGAATAAGAAGAGGATGGAGGGGGCGGGGCACCACTGGTAACGACACTATTGCTCCCGCCGGGGCCTGCAGCGGCAGCGGCAGGGCTACGTGCTGCCAGCGATGCCATGTAATTGGCCCGGCCAGGTACTCGGTATGGCGACAGCGACGGCGCTGCGGAGGGACTGTACAGCAGTGTCCCAGTGGCTGTGGTGCCTGTGACTGTAGTGCGCAACGACCTCTGGAGCAGCAGAAGCCGGGAACTTTGCGGCTGTAACATCAATACTAAGCTGGTCTTTAGGGGGCGGCTTGAAGTGGAGCAGCCCCGGGGAGAAGGGTGTAAAAGGGAGAGAGGAAAGAGATTGGGAGGTTATATCAAGAGTCTACGGTGAGAAGAAACCTTATGCCTAGGCCTTACACCGCGGTCGTCGGCTGTAGTGCAGGGCTTCAAGAGAAACCGAGGTCGTCTTTTCGCGGGCACGGGAGTTGGTTTTCGGATGGTCGATACGGACCAGAAGCTAACTGGTTCTGGATATCGTGATGGGTCTCAGTAGTGCTAATTTGATTTGATCCTCATCTTCATGCCGTGTAATATATCCGCACAACACGACCGACAGCCCGAGACAAGTCATGACCCGATGAGCCTATCTCATTACACGTGCAGCTAAACGAATTGAAGTAATGTCTAAGCTCAAGGTCCTTCTTACGCTCCCCTCTTGTACTTTAGTCAATCCAAGATATTTATTGCCAAGGCGATTAATTATTTCCTTCTGCTCTGCAATCAAGCCTATCATGAAAATTCTTCTATCTCCGTAACCGGAACATAAACCGTCTTATTATTAGGCGCAACACCAACAAAATGCAGACCCCATCCATCCACACCGTTTGAAAAGCCAGAGCCCCCAAGATGCACCAGGACCCACGATACTGATCACCTCATATCGATTGGTGCTGAGTGATTCAGCAAAGAGTTGAACACGAGCCTAAGACCATAGTTTACGCCACGAGCTGGTTCATCGTCGTTTTCACTACTACCCTACGAACCTCAACAGTACACCATTTTAAACTTTTGATAGGCACGCCTATTCTGATTCAACTAACGAGACTAACTAAGCAATAATCAAAGGCTATAAACAAACAGCACTTCAAAAAGAAAAAAAGGATAAAAACCCTTCTCGTACCCCAGACTTATTAAACTTGGGAACTGGTCCCTCGACGACGCCCAGACAGACTGCGAAAACAGCAAGTGAACTTTCTCGCCTGCTCAAGAAAACGAAACTTATCGAAACAAAAGCCCAGGCCAGAATTGGCACCCTTGTTTATTATCCTGTAATTGCCCACTTAGCCAGCGACCTCAGCATAGACAGAAGACTTGGTACCCCGTTGCTCCAAAGGAGAAGTGCCGGATTCAACTGTAGCTGCCTCAGACTGGACGGGAGACAAATTGCCTTCCGAAGCCAGAGGCTCCTTTCCATTTCCCTCAAGGGTTGGCGATCGACTTTGGACTGGAGTGGAAAAGCCCTCGGCCTCAGGTCGCCACCCTCGAAGGTCATCCTCAGCATCATTTAGGATTTGGCGTGCCAGGGAGGAGTGTTCATAAGGTACTCGCGTATCGCCAGGGACCACAGGCGAATCATCGAGAAGCTCCAACAGACGGCGGCCATGTTTGGCTAGCATGATCTGCTTTTCGGCACGCTCGATGGTTGCAGCGAACTCAGCAACATAGGCTTCCTTGAGCTTTTGTCGGGTCTGTATGATTGGTCAGCCTTGCTCAAGTGGTTGATGAAGCGATGCTAGTCACAACTCACGGTGTTGGTCAATTGGGCCTCCGCCACCAAGTTCTCAGCCTCAGCTCTCACCAATTCCTGCTCGAGGACAGGCAACCTTGTGCTGCCAGGCTCCTTTAACTTCAGTTTCTGGATCTCGTCGGCAATCTTGTCCTTTTTTTCGCGGCTAGGTTGCACGCTCTTCTCTGTGTTTCGAATAGCCTTGAGTTCGGCGCGAGAATCGTCAAGAGCATGAGCATATGCGTCCTCCTGCTCGCCCATTTCGCTTAGGATAACTCCCACTTTATCCGATATATCACTAATACTCTCATCTCCGGTATGCTCACCCCATTCGGATAACTGAGTCGCGATGGAAACCCGCTCACGGCCGGCGGTCTCATGGGCGCTGATGAGATTGTTCTCCGATTTGATGAGGCGGAAGAGCTTACGGGACAGCTCAGGTTGGACCTGGCCGCGAAGTGAGTTGAACGAGAAACCTGGGCGCTTGGCTCCGGCACCAGTGCCAGAGTTGCCCTTGGATTTGTTGGATCGAATGGAGAGTGCACGATTCCTAGGAAAGGGTTTTATGTCAATCGGGCTTTCTGAATTTAGTGAGTCATGGCGTGAAGAAGAGGCATCGAAACTGAAGCGAGACATTGTATTTTGATATACAGCAAGGTTGGTTAAGGTGCGACGACATACGAAGTTTGACAATTGCTGAAGATGCTAACGGGAGCTTACATGTTGAAGACTTGACGAAGGATAACTACTATACCTAGAGAGCCAAGGTAATAGGCAGGTGAATCCTGCAGGTGTCGCTCAAGAGTAACTGCGACTCGGCCAGAATGCACCTTCTTCCGTATAGGTAGTCAGCTTTCACGTCACAGAGTATTCTTGCCTTCCCCGCTACTTATGGAACAGACAAGGCCCAACACCTCCTCACACAATAGAACAGGTGACAGCTTACAGTGGAATAAGGCGATTCAAGAATTCAGCTGCAGAGCCGCTTTGGGTGGTAAACGTAAATCAGTGCAAATCGTCTGGGTCCGGCTGGGTCAGGTCTGTTACAAGGGGGATGGATGTAAGAGATCTCCAGATGTTAAAGCTGCCGATACCAAGGCAGGGGTTGTGCAGGCTTTAAACAAGTAGAAGGGCCTTTTTGAACTGACGTTGACGACACCAACACATCTTGATCTGCCCTGCTTTCGGTAGCACAAGTACATGTTTTCAGCTGCAGCTACGCTCACAATTGGAGTAACTCGCTGTATCTGTCTTAGAGAGCCTTTGGATGTTCGGTGGCGGAATGCAGTGTGATGTCATGAGCTCCTCTAGCGACGATCCAGCCTTGCGGGACACTCCGCACCCCGCCCAGACGATACGTCAACAGGCTTTCCAAATGGTCAGAGTAGCAGCTCCAAATGACGAAGATCCGTGGCTCCCGAGAAACAAGCACGAGGCTCAGCCTTTCATGGAAGAGACATTGGTCGAATAGCGTCTTGAGATTCTTAAGTTGACCTTTTTCTACTGTCACAACTTATGGTTAACAGCCCATTGAGCCAAAGCCAACAAAAAAACTCCATCTTATTTAATTGCGCTGTGTCACCTATTCCTGTGCATTAATAACGCCCACCCTGTGTCCAATATCTTTAACCAGACAGTTTCCCCCAAAACCTTGCCCAAATAGTCATACGTTCCTCATCAATACATTAAACCCAATTGCCAATGCCGCTAAACACAGCCCGCCAAGTACCGCATGCTCTGTCCAACGTCATCGTCTCTAACTACACCCACAATTCAGCATTGGTGCCTTCAGACGATCAATAGCGCTCATAGACAACAGTGCCACTGTTTCGTGGGCTGTGGCTGTAGGACCGTCTAGAGACACTGGTGTAGCTTGCTCGGGGAGAGCGTGAGTGATGGTGGTGATGGTGATGGTGATGATGACCTGTGTATCGTCTAGAAGGTGTAATCTCTTCGTGATAGTAGTACTTGGTCCTGGACTTGGGTTCACTGCCGAAACACATCCTGGTGGTTGTTTGAGGGTTTGTTCGGCGAGAGTGAGACTGGCCGTAGCTGTGATAGGACAGGATTAGTCGAACGAGATCGTTAAAGCGACTGGAAAGCGAGGCCCTGATTGATCAGCCTCAACTTGAGATATTGGTTGTTGAATTATAAATGCAAAATAATGTGTAAGGCTTCGAGGAGGGTTCTCATGTTCAATCTTATACCAGTGCCCTGGTCTTCTTTGCCCGGTTTCTTTTGACTAACCCATGCTGTCAGAACCTGGCGCAGACAAGGAGAGGGTCCCCAGCCAGGGTGGCCATTCGGAGCCTGTCTCGCCCACCCATCTCAGGCTCAACTGGGAGACACAGTCCCTCCACACATACTACACTTCGCGTAGTGCCAAGTCCGTGTTAGAACCTGGCAAAGTCTGTACATACAAGAGGCTATCAAAAGAGGCTGGGCCTACCTGGCCTACGGAGTTGCCCGCCTCTACGGATAATGGCTTGGACCCTGTCCTTGGTGGTGGCTTTGCTGTCTTTATCACAACATACAAAGTCGAGAGTAGGTATTTGACTGTCATCTGATGTTTCTTGCGTCTTGAAAACTGGAAACCTAATCCATTTACCAATATGGTCCTCTCTATTTTACACTTTTACATCTTTCCCAGCAGCTGCTTCCAGGCTCCTCATCATGTAAAGGTGAAGACCTCTCAATCAAAAGGCACGTTCCGTTTCTATTAAAGCGTCTATTTCTTAGGCTTAAATCCCACCTGCACCTGGCCCAATGCCCAGGTAGTGACAAATACTACCATGGCACTGGCAAAGATGACCAAAGGTTTTCGAAGAGCGCTCGAGAGAGGCGCATCGTAAGAGATGATAAGTTGGCGGTCTCGGAACTCATCAACCAGGTTTCGCGCCTTGATGCTGACGGCTGTTCTGCCGACAGTATCGAGGTAGGTTCTGGTCAGATCAACCGAGGTAGATACGATCGATGATTCGGGAATGTTGGTGTGAAACTTGACGTTCCTGTATCAAAATTAGCAAAGGTACAGATAATGCTTGGACTGTCGGCTTACTCGGCGCCTTCTGGAAGGAGAACATTGACGTTGATGTGCTCATACTCAACGCCTTCTGGCTGCTTGGGGCCTTCGATGAAAGGAATCCGGAGTACGAAACTACCAGTGACGGTCTTTCGCAGGAAGTTAGAAGCATCGGAGTTCCACCCAATAGTGAAAGGGTACCTCCATCCACCAAAAAGAGGGTATCGCGGCTTTAGAACAAGAAGAGCGTCTCGGTTGTCGGTTCGCCAAGTAGACGTTGTGACGTTGCCGATCACATCTGTATAGTAGGCGTCCACGCTTCCGCCTGGAAGAGGAATTCGCAATTGGTCGAGGTAATGCGAAGGTCGAACTCCTGCAACCCCATGCTGACGGTACAACGAATGCTGAGAATATTTGATTCGATCGAAGTTGTCAGAAAGGTTGGCACCGCCGTGATACATCTCGTAGTGCTCCTCGAAGGCGATGTTACCGCCCCAGTGGCTGACTTCAATCAAACGGTCGAGCTCCTTGACATGAATAACCGGTTTGGTAAACTGAAAGCGAACGTTTGCAGGGGAGACAGCACCGGCGGGCTTTTCATCGAAGGGACCATAGATGAGCTTGGTGCCCTGCTTTACAGGAAACTCCTTGGCCTCGCCACTGCCTGGAAGTTTTGTATAATCGGGGACATCGGCCGAAGCAGCCTTGATCTCGGTCTTCTGCTTCTTCGTGATGTAGGCAGATGGCGCATAAACGGAAAAGTTGAAGCTCAGGTATTGGTCATCGTCCTGGGAAACGGCTACGGGGAGAGGAGTGTAGGCTTTCAGGTAATAGTAGGTGATTCCGAGTGTTTGTTGAGCACCAGGCTTGAGCGGCGTGGGCAGTCGGATACGATAGTACTGAACATCACTATATTGCACCGTTAGTATCCAGCTGCGACATAGTCAGGCTGGAAGACACATACCTGAGAGGATCGTACTCGACAATTTCGGCCACGAACGGTCCGGCGTTCGCATCCTTACGATCCTTAACCTCGAAACCTCCTATACGAGGAAGCTGTTCGGTAGTAAATGGCACATAGTACTCTGTCTGCGGCTCCTTTGCAACGTTCTCGACGAGGACATTGATCTGTTCCTTTACGTAGGTCTTCTCTAGAGAGATGACATGCACCAAATTGGCGTTCTTGAAAACCTGTGGAGGCTTGAAGTCGACGGGCAGGATGACCTTTGATGTCTTGGAGTCTGTAGTTGCGCCAGCGAGCGCGACAGATATGAAGCTAAAGAGCGCCGTGGTGATGGCGAAAGGCTTCATGATGACGGCTTAGGATGGGGATACACTCATTTATTGAGAGATCCGAAGCTGTCAAGAATGAAGTTTTGTTGTGGCCGTGTACCGCAAGGTAATTGTGGTCAAAGGTTGATTAATGCAAGCTCGCAACTCTCGAGACAACTCAACTTCTAGACCCTCCTGAGACAGCTCCCCAAAAAGCATACGTTGCCCATTTGGCGCGTCAGCGGAAGCTTCAGGGTAGGTTCCATAGCTAGCTCGTCTAACCAATGAAAACGTGGCTAGATCGCAGCTCGGGAGAATCGTAGCGCCGGACCCGGACCCCCGGTACCTTAACTGAAAGGTGCGTTACATGCAGTGGCCTGAGCACCACACTTCCTCTTGATGAGGCGGGAGATACCTAATCGCTAATAAACGGCAGAAGAACCAAGTACCTAGCCTTGGAGACCCCCCCCACGAAGGTGGCTTACTGGGACCTGACATCATGTTACCAAGCTGGAGCTTGAACTGCCGCGGCCGACCTCCATGCTCCCCAGCTCATGATGGTTGAGAGCAGTAAAACATGTGCACATTCGGGGTATCATGAATTCCAATACTAATTGTGACTTGGGTTCAAAGAGACGGCATTTATCAAGAGATCCAACTGAAAAAACGCAATTGGAACTGTAATGTGTAGTGTGACTTTCTTTCAGTCAGAGTAACCACTAATAAATACCAGTGGCCCCCTCCATCAACGGCCCGACAAGATAGGCTCCAGTTGGAATTGAGGAGAAGAGACTCAACCCACACGCATCTCAGACCACGAATGTCTAAGCGTGAGGTGCCTGAGTTCTCGTTCAGGCTAGTATAATTATTGAGGAGAGATGTCTCTTGTTTGCTTACTTCCTTTTGCAACGAAGCGGTCAATCGACCAACCCACGAAGGGTACAGAGGTGGCTCGGGTGCCTATAGTACCTTGGTGAAGGGGAGCAGACACAAGTAAGGTACCTATTCAGTAGAAACCACCTAGGTGCAGGCCTACACACCTATATTTTGGATACCTACATACATAGCATGTACTAAGTTAGTTGAGGGCCAAGACGGCGGAGACCTGGGACGATCTGGCTGTTGCCAATTGGCCACAAGATATAAGATAAAGTACATGCCAACCTTTATTTGTAGGTAGATGTACTTTGCTTCTGGCCGATTGATGACATGAGAAGACAACTAATAAGTCAACTCCCTGCAAATCTCCCGCGCAACGGCCTGTCCTGACCTCGACTCACCTCAATTTAGTCCAGTCCAGTCCCATCAAGACCTGCTAGTACCTACCTCACTTAAGGTACCTACGTAAGGTGCTTTCTGCTCCACCTCCCTTCCATCCATCCCATCCCATCCCATCCCATCCATATCTGGACTGCTTTAAAAACCCTGTATCCCCCTACCTACACCATCCTCCTCATGCTCCTCAACCTATTCTAAATTCTGAATTGTGTTTCTTTCCTCTCGTGAATACGTTTTTCACCCTACAAAAGTTTCCACGGTGACCTACGCGCTACGAAGCTTCAACAAGACACTACCCCGCCAAATCCGAACCCCGCCAAAAGTCAAACCTCCCTCATCAAAATGGTCGGTCTTGGTCCTCGACGTCCTCCCTCCCGAAAGGGTACGTATACTCAAATGCTATCACTTATTATGCTATGGCGCCCCCACGATCGAGAAACTCTATAAATCGTTATCTGGGAGCATCAATTGATGCTGGCCACGAGCTGTTGCTTGTCCATGAAGAAGAAGCTTGCTCAGTGGGGCAGAACCAGCCAAAATGCGCCGCGATGACGATGCTTCTCCATCCTCTACCACATTCCTGGTGACGAACCTTGGAGACAAGACGAAGTCGTCTTCTAGAGTCACGACAGTGAAAAAAAGCCGTCGTGCGAGATCGAGAGCCATCCCCATTGGCTCTTGGGGCTCGGCCAAGAATCGACAGCAACAATGATAATCGACTGTGCATGCATCTGTGACCTCAAGTTTCGGGGTAACAATGAATTTGCAGATAAGGTGTATTACGTGAGCTTGTACTTCGTGGTTACTGAATGCTATTGGGCTTGACAGCTGGCAATCACTGTCCTACTGTCAGAGTGTAGATGCAGAGTTTGTTCAGTGACCATGCAGCACTGAAGTCAAAATGCGCTACCCTTCTGTTAACCTTTCTCTCCTCAGAGTCTCTTGTTCTTCCAACCACATTCAAGCTAAAAAATACCAGCCCGCTCAAATCTCCGTTGCTAACGATAAATCATGTCAGGATCAATGGCCGATGTCCCTAAGGATCTCGCCGATGAGATTCACAAGCTTGAGAAGCTCTTTACGGTAGAGGCCGCTAAGCTCAAGGAGATCACCGACCATTTTGTCTCCGAATTAGCCAAAGGTGAGCCCTACTGCTCTGCAGACCACAGGGACGACTGTCTGACTCTCAATAGGCCTCAGTGTTGAGGGGGGTAGCATCGTGAGTATGAAACAGACATCTTCAATCCTGCTTCTAACTAAACCCATAGCCTATGAACCCTACCTGGGTCATGTCATACCCCGATGGCTACGAAACAGGAACTTACCTGGCCCTGGACATGGGCGGAACAAACCTGCGAGTCTGCCAAATCACCCTGACCGAAGAGAAATCCGAGTTCGATATCCTCCAGTCCAAGTATCGCATGCCCGAGGAGCTCAAGTCTGGTACATCTGAAGAGCTTTGGGAATACATTGCCGAGTGTCTTTACCAGTTCCTCGAGACTCATCATGGAGACTGTAGCAAGCTGGAGAAAATTCCTCTTGGTTTCACATTCTCATATCCTGCCACCCAAAACTATATCGATGAGGGTATCCTGCAGCGATGGACCAAGGGCTTCGACATTGATGGTGTGGAGGGCAAGAACATCGTTCCCATGTTTGAGGAGGCCCTGAAGGCTCGCGTACGCTGAACATCACCCTGAAACCTCAAGAATCGCTGCTGATCATGTGAATAGGGCGTCCCCATCAAGCTTGCAGCTATCATTAATGATACTACTGGCACATTGATCGCTTCAGCCTATACCGATACCGCTATGAAGATCGGTTGCATCTTTGGTACTGGCTGCAATGCTGCTTACATGGAAGACTGTGGTTCCATTCCTAAGATTGCCGACCTGAATTTGCCCGCCGACCTGCCCATGGCCATCAACTGCGAGTGGGGAGCTTTTGACAACGAGCACAAGGTCCTTCCCCGAACTGCCTACGATGTGACTATCGATAAGGAGTCTCCTCGCCCAGGACAACAGGCCTTCGAAAAGATGATTGCCGGTCTCTACCTGGGCGAGATTTTCCGACTCATCCTTGTTGACCTTCACGATAACAAGGCCATTCATATCTTTGAGAACCAGGATATCGCTCTGCTACGCAAGCCTTACTCCCTCGATGCTTCCTTCCTGTCTGCTATTGAAGAGTACGTATTTTCCTTCTTCTTCTTTTTTTGCTGGGTTTACGCACACTGCTAATTTTCTGCTTTAGGGACCCCTGGGAGAACCTGACTGAGACGTATGATCTCTTCGTCAAGAAGCTGAACCTGAAGCCCACACGCCCCGAACTGGAGCTTGTTCGAAGGACCGCCGAGCTCATCGGCACACGTGCTGCTCGCCTTTCGGCTTGTGGTGTCGCTGCTATCTGCAAGAAGAAGGGATACGAGTCTTGCCACGTCGGTGCTGATGGTTCTGTATTCAACAAGTACCCCTACTTCAAGGAGCGAGGAGCTCAGGCTCTGCGAGAGATTCTCGACTGGCCTGCGAAGACCGACAAGAAGGCCGAGGACCCTATTGAGGTTCTTACTGCCGAGGACGGCAGTGGTGTCGGCGCCGCCCTGGTTGCCGCCCTAACCCTTAAGCGGATCAATGAGGGCAACATGGCGGGTATTCTTCATCCCGAGAACTTCAAATAAGCATGAGCGAAAGTCGATTGATGAAAGGCGCGTGATGGGTATCAAAGGTTAATATTAGGATTGGACGAAAAACGAAGATAGACGTGGACTTGAATGAAAGCACGAATAGAGACGAAGGGTTTCTTAAAGACTATCAAGAGCGTGTGCCACTGACAGGACAGGAATTCTTTTGATGGATACATTCGTCTAGCCCATGAATGTGCAAACAGGCAGCCGGTATTCTGCGAGACGAAGTTAGCTTGATAGTGATGTAAAATATATGGGTATAGCTTACTGTCTAGGGTCCAGTATCGTCTCCGTACGCCCTCCCACTCTCCCTCGCCAGCCTTTTCTAGACCAGACATGTCTACATCACTCTCCTCCCACTCGACATCGAGGCCTGCATCGGCGCACTGCATCTCGACCACCTTGGTGTATACGTCGTAACAGATCTTTCTGTCAGCTCCAAGGCCGTTGAAAAAGCTGAACTTGCCATCCTGGTCCATGATGCCGATGATGCACTCAGAGAAGAAGTGACGTAGCTGAGAGTAGTCTTCGCCAAAGGTGTCGAAGTAAATGGCATCGTAAACCTCACCATCTTCCAAGAGTTTTGGTACAATATCTTGCCATCTGCCCTTGTACACTTTAAAGGCGCCCTCTTCAGGGCCGCTCTTCTCCCAACTTGGGCCAAATTTGGATTCATCTGTGGAGAGGTGCTCAAGGACGCTCGGGTGTGCCTCGATGATATGATGACGCGAGGGCTTCAAATCAGCGAACATGCCATCAACAATACCCATGCCGAAACCAATGTTGAGGATACGTTTGCCAGGGGCTGAGTCGGGAATCAGAGCGGCAACCGACCGGCGCATGATATCGGTCTCCCATGCCATCATGACACCGTTGAGGTCAGAGTCGACGAGTTTGGCATCATCATATACAAGTTTCGACTTTAGATATTCCTCACTTGTAACTTGCTTCTCTTGAGCGTCGGGAGGGATGAACTTGGGTTCTTCTGGTTGAGGGGCGGTGTCTTGAGCGGATACCAGTTGAGGAGCCTCTTCGTCATCTTGTTCGTGTTCAGCTTCCATCTCTTCGTCACCGTCATCTGAACCAGATGATAGTGCTTCATAATCCCCCATAAGAGCGAACAGTAGTTCAGCTCGCACTCCAGCCTCTACACAAAGATTGTATAGAGGCTTACGGCCAAGTCTGAGGGCAAGGCACCCCGGTGTCTCATTGTTGCTATCGACATCGTTCCAAATCGCACCTCTCAGGAAGAGATCGTGGACTATCTCTTTAGCCTCTTCAACGGAGCCATCCTCTTCCTGGTCGTCATCGTCCCCAGAAGCAGGCCCGCAGGCTCGGATAGCTGCATGTAGGGGTGTCTCCCCAGTCTTGGGGTCCTGAGCATTTGCCTTGCCGGTGGTTTTTAGCAGTTTCTGCAGACCACTTCTATCATGACCCCAGGCATGGTACAAGACTTGTCGAATCTCGTCTGGGCAATCGGAGGATATGCGCGCCAGCATAGAATCATCGATTTTGGTAGCCATGATGAGGGGCACGAAATAAAAACTGTGATCGCGGGGTTGAGGGGCACGGAAGTTTGGGGATGGGTGAACAATACCCGAGCTACAAGGGTTGAGCAACGAGTGTGCACCTGTCTATCTACGCATATGGTAAGGTTGAAGCTGATTTTTCGAGTTGAGGCTGTAAAAAAGAATCAAGGCCAAGTTTGTGCTAAAGGTTGGATCTACAGGCCTGGAGTTTGATGGTCTGTGAAGCATCCTGACCCAGAAAAACTGGGGGCCGTCTGCATGGTGCAAAGAAAACAGAATACAATGGTAAAAATCTCGCATTAGCTATAGCAAAGGTCTTGTCTCATAGTGCTATATCAGGTACTAAATAATGATATCGTTCGAGTTATCAATGTGCAGAGATATAAACATTCCCTCGCAGTTTGAAAGTATAGGCTCTACCTTGGTTAGGACCGTTAAAGGGATATGATTTTTATTCCTCCAGGGTATCGAATTCGACACCGAGCCTCAACATATTTCTCCACCTTGTCTGCTTGTGTTGTTAGATGGTCTCCATGGCTGAATGGATCCACTCTCACAATTGGGCATGCAATGCCGGTCACTGGCATTTACACGTGCATGAAGGATGTTGCCGACGGGCTCAATTGGCGAATAGGACAGTATCATCTCACTTGCTAGGTACAGTCCATGCACTTTTATTTAGCTTCAGCTTGTATCCCTTGGATGTATGTAAAATATCACTGGCACATGCCTGCGAGAAGCCCCAAATACCTATGTTAGTAGCTTAGCCTCGGGGGGGCAAGAAAACAACAGACCTTGATACGGTATGTCAAAATAAACACAGTAAAAGTCATTCTAAGCTTAGGCTATATCGCCTAAATCTTTTTGTCACTTAGGATCGAGGTCCTGAGTTTTCTTTCCTCCCCTAGCTTAGGTACGTACCAGGTATGGAAGAACGGCCGCTAAGAAATACGCGCGGACCCTCGCTTCAGCAGCACCAGTTTTTCTTGTCTGCCTCCCCTGTCCCTCTCTCGTTCATACCTTACCTAGCCTCGCTCGCCATTAAGTTTCCTTCAGTGACGTGCACGTTCTTGTAGCCCCCAACATGATTCGCCAATCGTCTCAGGTTCAGAGCTTGTCTCGAACAGAGCTCTCGACCGTGATAATGCCAACTAAACCAATGTCGGCCTGTTGCTCCACATAACGCCCGACCTAAAGTCAGAGACTCGACGCCAACGATAACAAGACAAAGCGAAGCGACGAAAGAGTTCAGATCAGGTCAAGGCAAGACAAGGAAACCTAGAACTTTTCTCGTACATGCCGCGCCGTAATCGACTTACAGTGCTACGGTTACCTTGCATATTCTTTGAAATATTAGTTCGTCCGTGCCTACCGACTCGGAAGCCCTGACTTGACCTGTTTTGTTACGCCTCGGTCATCTCGTAACTTTCGGCGACACCAAAAACATTGTCTCTCTCGCCCTCCTCTTCTCTTATTATTGTCACCAGGTAAGCCAGCGAAAGATTTGTATCATCAGCATTCGTCGATTGACTTCCTCGACTGCATCGTGATCAAACGTCTCATATCTCTTCAATCATCATCAGTCTTTGCTATTCGAGCTCAATTCCTTGGATGTCGTATCCAGCTTCTTCAATGCGCACATGCTGATCGTCCAAGACCTCAAGACACGTTCCAGAACCTGGCTCAGCACCCGCGACGGCAAAAATCTCTCTGTCCGACCCGGCGTCGTCGTCATGAAGTTCGGAGAGCAGTTACGCTCCAGCGTTATCCAGGAGTATCAGTGGTACTATATCGATTACGATGGTTTGAAAAATGAGCTCAAGAGACCTACCGGCCCTTTGAAGGCCGGCAAGGGCCCGGAATGGACTGAGGACGACGAGACTCGCTTTGTCGAGAGGCTCGAGGTAGAGCTCGAAAAAGTTCACACCAAGCAGAAGGTCAAGGCCATGGAGATTTCCCGTCGAATTGCTGTGAGCGAACGCGAAGTCAAGGATGTGGTTAATCGCCTGAATGAGCGTGGACTTGGCGAGAATGGCCCTAGCGAGGAAGAGTTCATGCTTCTCGAAGAGGACCTCAGCGACATCATAGCCGATGTCCACGACCTTGCCAAGTTTGTGCAGCTCAACTACACCGGGTTTTACAAGATCATTAAGAAGCACGATGTGAGACTCAAAACCATTGGAAACAACGTAGCCGTTGCCTAACAAAAGTTCCAGAAAACGACCGGATGGCACCTAAAGCCCGTTTTCGATAGCCGACTCAAAGCCAAGCCCTTTTACAAGGAAAACTACGACGCCGCCGTCATCAAGCTTTCGAAGCTCTACGACCTTGTCCGAACTCGCGGAAATCCCGTCAAGGGTGACAGTGCTGCGGGTGGAGGCCAGGCCAACTTCATCCGACAAACGACTAAATACTGGGTGCACCCTGACAACGTTACGGAGCTGAAGCTCATCATCTTGAAGCACTTGCCCGTTCTCGTCTTCAATGCCAACAAGGATTTCGACCAGGAAGATTCAGCCATCACATCGATTTACTACGACAATCCCGACACTTGGGACTTGTATGAAGGTCGACTGAAGAAAACTGAAGGTGCCGAGGCGATCCGACTTCGATGGTATGGAGGCATGAAGACAGAGACAATCTTCGTCGAGCGCAAGACTCACCGTGAAGATTGGACAGGTGAGAAGTCTGTCAAGGCTCGATTTGCCATGAAGGAGAAAAACGTCAACGCGTACATGAAGGGAGAACTGCTCCCAGCCGCCATCTTTGAGAAGGCACGCAAAGAGGGCAAGAAGCCTGAGAAGGCAATTGCTGAGGACGAGCGATTGGCTTCTGAGATCCAATACTCGGTTATTAAGAAGGGCTACAAGCCCGTTTGCCGATCTTTCTATAACCGCACTGCGTTCCAGCTCCCCGCCGATGCCCGTGTCCGAATTTCGCTGGATACGGAGCTCACAATGGTACGAGAAGACAATCTTGACGGCCGTGTCCGTTCTGGAGACAACTGGCGCCGTATGGATATCGGCGTTGACTATCCCTTTTCGCAATTGCCTGCCGAAGACATCGAGCGGTTCCCTTATGCCGTTCTGGAGGTCAAGCTCCAGACGCAGACCGGTCAGAAACCACCTGAGTGGGTTCGCCAGCTCATCTCATCTCACCTGGTGGAGGCCGTGCCCAAGTTCTCAAAGTTCATCCACGGTACGGCGACGTTGTTTCCCGATAGAATCAACCTCCTGCCTTTCTGGATGCCTCAGATGGACGTAGACATCCGCAAACCCGTTACTCATGACTTTGGTATTCGACGACCCGGGTTGTCAGGTACCACCAATACATCTGATGACGACGAAGAGCTTGACTCGGACGACGAGGAATTGCAGGCTACTGGCCGCAACGGCACCAACGGCGAGTCGAGCGCACAGGGCGCTCGTGGTCTCCGTGAGCTCCCTCCTATTGACATGGAGGGCCAGATGACAGACCTTCCCGCGGCCGATGAAGACTATGCGATTTACAACTCAGATGATGAGTATGATGAAAGATACGAGCTGGCGCAAGCCAAGAGAAGTGGAGGATGGCGCTACTACTCGACTTTGCTGTCTGCCAAGACTCGACATATCAGACAACATTTTGGAAAACACGTGGTTTCTGCTCTCAAGCTTGCTATTCCTGCGCCTAGAAGCACGCAGGTTGAACGCAGCGACCGGCTGCAAGCCTTGTTTGGGCACGATCCTATCCAGACTAAGAAGTTTAAGGCGCCCCCTGGCAAGAAGATCTACGTGCCTGTACGCGTGGAGCCCAAGGTATATTTTGCGGCTGAAAGAACATTCTTGGGATGGGTAAGTACTTTGATGACAACAGTACGAGTTCAATTACTAATACGTTTCGTTTGATAGCTCGAGTTTTCTATCTACATCGGCACAATTGCTGTCACGCTACTCAACTTCGGTAGCCATCCCACGCGTACCCACTTCTTGATTTCTGGCCTCTTTACTGTATTGGCTATTGCAAGCCTCGCTTACTCTGTGTTTACGTATCTCCACCGAAGTAAAGGCATCCGAGAACGTAAGGCCATTGCGTTCTACGACCGTTGGGGTCCAAGCGTTCTCTGCGTAGCTCTGTTCGTAGGCGTAGCTGCGAACTTTGGGTTTGAGGGTAATGAGAGAGGCATCTGGTAGGGACAAGGAGTCTTGGTTTTGGTGGGCTTTGTTGCATGCATTTTTGTAGCGGTGTATTGTGCAAGGCTTGGTTCGGTTTCCTTTTGTATAATATGAGTTTCTCAGTTGAAGAGGTGGAAGCGATGGGCTAGTTTAGAAAGTTGAATACTGTAATGCAGTTAGTGAGCTCAGCAAAGTTAAAAAGCATACAGAAGGAGCAGTATTGGAAACTAGTTTACATTTCTTGACTGACGATTGACTCTGTCATCAGTCTTGGTGTTGTCGATTTCTGTCAGATGTTGAGGATGGTCCTGATAGTCTCAAAAGGTCAGCCGCTTTCACCAACCCTCTTTGCAATCTCTTTGACTTCCATTTCATGGAGAGTATCCTGACCCAACGAATTTGAGTCCATAGCCCTCAGTTACAGTACCTCCGCGGCAGTACGGAGTCGCGTAACCTCATTCCCACTAGTCGCCGCCACTATACAGATAGCTCATAGCTTATAGTCCAGCATATGATAGTACCCGTGATTGGCGATGCGCATTGTATCGACGCCAAGGCTGTCAACTCCCAAATTATATCTGATTCTAGGCCACGGTCTCTATGTTGAACCAACAACAAACACCCTGGGAGTCAAGTGGCACTAGTCCAACCTAGAGGCTTTACTGTAAAGGTCGCCTTGGTCTAACTAGTGCATAGTAAACAGGTCGAGGCCAATGGACACAGAAGCAACTAAATCCACCAAGATTGGAAGGAGGAGTGATGCACTAGTCTGTGATACAGCAGGTAGGTATATAAAGACTTGACGGTCAGACAGGACCGTATCGCTCAACTCTACTCACT